TTTACGAGAATGTATCAATTGCATGGTGATTAGTGAATCCCGATTAGTAATAAGTAATTAACCGGGTCATTGCTAAGAAAGAAGTACTTTTCTTGAATCTTGAAATTTGTTCTGCGTCGCAGTCTTCCAAATTTACCTAACTAGGGTTAACTACCCCATTTCCGGCATATTAAGCCCAACCCGCACTTAGTCTTTCTTAATCTAGCGCAGTTTTGCACCAAACGGAATGTTATTATTACTGATGGCTTCAAAATTTATTTACCTTTCCGTACGTACCGTAAGATTTGATAAAGAGAAACCAGTCGTTGAGTTATTGTCAAAAGTCTAACACTGTTTCTTGATGCCAAACTCGTCCTAAACGCATTGAAACGCCAATGAATTCACTTCGGCGTATCGGATGGATAAAACATGATTAATCGGAGCGCCTCTTTTGTTTTTGGGAATAATGGGTGCAAACCTTCATATCACGCGTTCTCATTGACTTCGTTCGGTAGCTTATTAACAACGCATAATTGAGTTTTTAACTCTGAAATCATGGATTTAGTTGAACTTTTCTGCTCGATAAGCCCAAAATGGTCGATTAGGCCGAAGTAGTTCTCTACCCTACCTCGAAAATTCGCTAAAACGATTTACATGATTTTTTTGGAATGTTCTCAAACAATTCCTTTTGAGTCATTACCCTTCACATTTTCAGAATCAATCTAAAATCAATTGGAGATTCTCTCTGGGAGTCCCTTCAAAATTTCTTCATAACTGTACATACATTCTTTGCAGAATTCTCAAAAAAAAAATCATTAAATTTTTGTATAGATTCTCCTTGAACTTTAAAATTTTTCTAAGAATTAATTGAAGTTTCCTTCCATAATTCTATTTAAAATTCATTTGAATTCTCCTAATAATTCACATGCAATTCACATCTGAATTATCTTAAAATTTTGCACAGAATTATCACCTGAAAATTCACTAGAAATTTTCGAAAAAAAATTCAGTAAAAACGCCCTTGGAATTATCGTAGCGATTCCCTTAAAATTCTTCTCAGAATTTCTTTAGAATTGAACCCTCAAGATTAGATTCCCTTTGTATTTTCCACTAATCCTGGAATTCATCTTTCCGTGTAATTATCCACAGAGCTACTTAAAATTTTTACTCTAAACTCTAAAATCTCTTAGAGACCTTCCCTAAGCTCTTTTAGAAATTTGATCTGAAATACATTGACGTTAATCCTAGAATGCATTCATAAATCTCCTTCAAATTCATTTGGAAAAATATCGAAAATACTCTTAATAATTCTTCAAAGTGATGTATCCTGAAAATAAAATCCAGTCCAAAGATCTTGGCATTTTTGGACACCTTATTATTATTTTTTCCAAAGAGAGGACGACGTATATTTTTTCCTATATGTCATCGAAATTCACAGGATTTCCCGGTTTTTTTCTAGCCACATCGAATTCCCGTCATTTTCCCGGTTTTCCAGTTTTCTTGTTCACTGCTCACCCTGATCAGTTGGTAATACGGTAATATCTCGATTTTGACAGCCCCCTGTTTGAAAATCGTTTCTAATGTTTACGAGACCCATGCGCCTTTTTAAGTGGCCTTCTTGCACTTAAGTATGTCTCAAACTGCAATCTCTCATTCATCAGAAAGATTTGGAATTACGGGTATGCGAAATTATTGTTAGATAAAAGACTGATGCGCGGAGGGGCTGACAAAATCGAATAGTTACTGTACTGAGAACTACAGTAAGCATTCCGAGAAGAATTCCAGAAAAATTGGACTCTGAGAATAGGCCCAAAGGATTTTGAGGAAAATTTAAAGAAATTCTTAAAGACGATAGCTCAAAGGAAAATAGCATTTCCCTTCTCAGAGTTCTTTTCATAAGTCTACAAAAATATATGAGATTTTCATTGGGTATCCACAGATTTTTTTTTGTTACAGTCTAGAAATTCTCTGCAGGACAGTCAAATAATCATGAAATTCATCCTGAGATTCTCTTCGAGTTTTAAAGTTTTTTTTAAAGAATTCACTGAAGCTTTCTTTTTATTTATTTGTTGAACTAAATTCATTTGAATTCTCTTAATAATGCCTATGCAATGCCTGTTCTGAACTGTCTTGAAACTTTGCTCAGAATCATCTTGGAGTTTCTTCTTCTGTACTTGGAATTTTCCTTTAAATGCTCTAAAAACTCTTTCGAGATGTTCTTGTAATTATCCTTGGAATTCAATCAACACTCTTCGCAGAATTCTTTTCTTCAAAAATCTATCTATTTGGATAAAGAGAGTAGGAGCGAGAGGATTAGTAATTTCCATTTAATTCTTCTACCTTATTTGCTTATCCTTGACAGATACGCTTTTTCGTCTACAATGTGCGAAGTCTTGAAGTCGAGTATTATTACATTACACTGAAAAAGTCTGCAAATTGTAGACGAAATACGCGTATCTGTCAAGGATACGCAAATAGGCTAGTGGAATTAAATGGAAATGACTTCTCTCCGTCTTTATACAGGTTCCAGTAAGACGCCCACATTCATCAGGATATTTACATGGAATTTTTCTCGGATCCTGGAATCCTCCTAACAATCGTCATGAAAATATCCACAGTGCTACTCATGAAATTCATCCTTAAATTCTCTTCGAATCTTGTAGATTTGTTTTATTAAGAATTCACTGGAGCTTTCTTTTTATTTTATTTTTTAATTAAATACGATTGACTTCTTCTAATTATTCCCATGCAATTCTGCTCTGAATTGTCGTAAAACTTGGCTCAGAATCATCTTGGAGTTCTCCTCTAAATTCTTCTGATAATTCACTTGGAATTTTCTATTAAATTCTCTAAAAACTCTTTTCGAGATGTCCTTGGAATTATCCTCGGAATTCAATTAACATTCTTCGCTTGGAATTTTTCACGGATCCTGGAATCCTCCTAAAAATCGGCATGGCATTTTCCACAGAGCTACTTAAAACATTAACTGTGAACTTTTACAATTGACTTGAAGTTCTTGTCAAAACTCTCTTAAAGTTCTTCCCTAAACTCCATTGGAAATTTTCTGCTGTAGTCTCCAAAATCTCAGGATTTATTTCGGAAAAAAATCTAAAATTCTCTTGATTGTTCTTCAAAGTGACTTTATCGTGGAAATCTAGTCCAGTCTGAAGGTCTTGAATTATTTTCAAAGCCCAAAATCTTTTTTTTCGGAGAGAGAACCAAGTATATTTTTTCCCGATTTGTTATTGAAATTCACCTGTTTTTCTCGGTACCTTAGCATTGCTGAATTTTTCCCGATTATCCGGTTCACCGGTCACCCTGCAAAAGAGTTCTAGGAGTGATTCCTAGGATATTCATGAAAGAGTTACAAGGAAATTCTAAAACGGATCCATGTCTATTGCAGAGGAGAATTCTGAAGAGAATTAAAAAAAGTCTAAAAGTTTGCAACGGGATGCTTAAGAGAATTCCTATGGAGTTTTCGGAAGAGTTACGAGATGAATTCAAAAGAAATTTGGAAAAGTATAGCAAGGCCTTTCTGAGAAATTTTGAAAGGGTATTTTAAAGAGAACTATGAAGAGAATTTTAAGCGTATTATACCAAGGGACTGTCCAAATTCCACGTGCACAGCTTTCGACAGGTTTTAATCCCCCTCTCCCAGACTGCACAATCATCTACAAATTTTCAAAAATGTGTGTGGACTGTGGACTCCCCTCTCCCCTAATCTGTCCACGTGGCATATGGACAGCTTCCAACACGTAATACTACTAAAGAGTTGAAATCATTCAGATTTTAATTTGACAAAGCTTAAGCAGAATTATGACGAACAGAACCAGACAAACTCGAATCTCAATGCTCACGACACCACTCACAACCGGCCACTGACTTAAGTGAACGGAAGCTGACACGTAACCGGACTCGTAATCCGCAAAATTCAGCTTAAACATGAAACCAAAAAAACCCGAAAAACATGCAGACAATAAGCGGAATTTTCAATTATCTTTCCCAAAAGCACCACGTTGTTCCTACTCTAACCAGACAGTTCCTTTTCTGCACAACCATTTTCCAGCACGATCGCACACACACACACACTCATTCTCTCACTCAGTCCCTCCCTCCCTCATTCACTTCGTTTTCCCTTCGTTTGTTATATCTAGTTTTTCCACTAGCAGCAAAGAGTGAGAATGGTGGAAAAATCCACCAAACCGCATCTGCATCGTCGTCGTCGTCATCGTCGTCGCCGCAGCCCACGACGACTACGGCTGCCACGCAGTCAAAATGCTCTGCTGCTGTACCGAGTCTACTAGAGTGCCTAGGTCGCGTAGAAGAAAACGGATAGAAGATAGCTCCCCAGCCCCAGCACTACACTAGTGGAGCAAAACGACCATCAGACAAACGGACCAACGGTTCCTCCACCATGCCACTACAGACATACGGCGCGGCAGTGCCGGGTACTGCCATTATTGTTATTGAATAGACAAGTACAACCGGGAGGGTGTGCAGAGCGCGCAGACACACATTCGAAACGCATTCCAAGTTCTAGCAGCAGCAATAGCAGCCAAAAACGGAAGTTGTTAATTATTTTTCATCGTTTCCCTTCGCACATTGCCTGCCTGCTTCCTGGCGAACGAGCGACGAGACACGGTCAACTCCAGAGATCCAGAAACTCCGACTGTCGGGGCTTAAGGTTCTTTTGGTTGTCGCCATTTTTAATACACATTACAGACACACCGGCCCTAGAACAGATCGAGTCCACGCTTACAACATTAGCGGGGAAGATGGTGATGATGACGGGTATAATTGCAAAAGCAGAAAGTTTCGGTTGAGTTGTCGGTTAACTCCAGCCAAAGCTGACACGCAACCTCGAGGATTTCTGACTGAGACTGACGACTTGCAGAAGGTGGAAAACGGGAACAAAAATCACGTTTCATCAACCGAGATAATGAGCACTACACACTACTGGCACTGGCGAACAGACGGACCGAACCCAATCATGCGGTCATCTGCCCATGTGGTGGACTTACTTTGAGGCTACGGTTGCCGGTTTCCTAGCTGCGGCGTCGATCAACCGGATCCGTAGAGCTGGGTCGTTCCTCCTTGGTGCGAGTTTTAATTAATGTTATCGATCTGCCGGGGGGTAATATAATCCAATTTTCACGGTTAACCGAACGTCGTCGTCACTGGCAGGCAGTCAGACAGCAGTCGGGTCAGCTTTCCGGAACACGCGAGGGCTGGATCTGCTGGAGCAAAAACCGCAACACTCTGTGGGTATTCGAAGTACACCGGCGGCGACTGAACCGTGTTGTATGTATCGTGTAACTTGCGGAACTTTGGGACTTGAGCACACTACTACTGGCAATCTTCCAGATTTTCGCTTCAGAGCTCACCACTGTAGGAAACACACTTTGCACACGATATTCTCGAGATATTCTTCCGATATAGGAACTTGCACACTTCCACTTGAACCTGATTTCTTGAGGATGATCTTGGGAATGGCTATTTTCTGTTGGGCGTTGTTGTCACACACATTCGCCGGAAAAACACACTCTACAACACTGACGGTGGTGGCAGTCGCGAAAAACCGAGACGTCGACGGTCCACGCCTAAGGAGTGCAGCGCAGCAGTATAGCAATAGAGGATCTCTACGGCGATGTTGGCAATAAGCTCAAATTCGCACTCTATGTATCTCTTCTTCACGAACGAACGAACGAACGTATGTATGTATGATGGTCCAATTCTCTTCTCGGGAGAGCTTTCTGGCGGCGCAGATATCTACACTACACGACTACAGCGATACGCTTCCGAGGGGGGGAGGGGGTGTTCTTCGCGAACTCTCGCACACACAGCTTTCTGCTGACACTGCTGACTCCCTTCAATAGGAAGTATGTCGTGCCGTAAGGGGGTGGTGACTCAAGGAACCCGACGAAAATAACAATACTTCACAAACCACCCAAAGGCGAATATTTTCACGTACTCGGTGGGACACACCAACACCAACAGCCGTTATTACCACCGATTATCGGTGGAAAGGGATGATTCAGAACACGGTTCCCTTCAAGGAAAACAACTATCCTCGCAGACTACGACGAAACTACGACTTTCTTTGGGGCAGTAAACGCGCGTCGTTATCTCGGTCCTGTCAACGAACGGGGCACACTATCGGTCTCCGGAATGTGGTCGCGTGGCAAATACTTGCTAGCTGACTCAACCTGAACCTGTCTGGAATACCGAGAATGTGATGACGAAAACAGCAGTTCGGTCCGAACCAATCCGTGTTATCAACCGTAGGTACAAAACTGAACTGACGAGAATACATCCATCCAGACGTGACCGAAGCACCACAAGCAGCCACTCTCCAGAACTCTAGCTCTCTGGAAATGCACGCCCGACGACGACGAAAGCAGCGAGAGAGGGCATCTGCGCACACCATCACACCCGTTACATACTTCCAATAAGAAGACCAGCGATTCTCTCTACAATTTCCTCAAGTTCAACTGCACCACCCTCCGGACGAAGACGACCTTCCAACCATCCTTCCACACTTCTCCAGAAGCCATACAAGAACCATCTGGATCTCACTCTCCCAAGTGAGTCAAGTCACTCATCTCTACAATAATAAAAATCCACTCTCCTCTCAACTAGTCCACTAGCATACAACGAATCACACACAGGCAAATCAACCAACCTCCCACTCACCTACCCATCTCGCATCGCGTCGGGAAAAGAATCACCCTCCATCTTCAACCCCACACATCTTTACCAAACAGCAAGCGGAGTGCAAACCAAAGAAAACAGAGAACAACCGTACTCACACCAATACCGACTGACTACGACTACCACCACCACTCCCCTCCCCCCCCCCGCATCCGACGACCACACTACTTGAATACTGCTGCTTTCAGAAGAAGTTCGAGGAGAAAGGGAATTTTGATCAAAACATAGCACGGTAGTCTCGTTCGTTCGCTTTGGCCGCTGCTCTTGGCACCTGCTGCTCACTTCCGCCCACCTTTTCCAGGTTCCAACAACCACATCCGGAAGAATCGCAATCGCGCAGACCGGCAACAACGAACAAACGGTCCAAAAATGTGCTTATGATGGATTAACGATTGCGAAAAAAATAATAAAAACAGCAAAGCATAAAACGGAAAACTTCTAGTCATCCCCTCATTGGACGTCGCCGTCGTCGTTGTTGTTGTTGTTCGATTAGGTTCATTCTTCCATCCGTTTATTTGCTATGAACGGAATTGTGAAGTAAAAAAATTGGGAAGCTTAATTTTTTTTTGTTCCTGAAGGAGCAAAAGGGTCGTCGTTGGCCGGGCGGTGCATGTTGCATTTTTAATTAAATTTTCCGAGCGACATCATCGAAGGTAGGTTGTTCGCCGAAGAACGAGTTGATCTATTAGCAATTTATGGAAGGTTAGGGGTAGAAACTTTTTCGGGTGCCGTTACAAATTACAACAAATTTGTCCCTCGTGTCGTGTCGTGTCGTGAGAGGAGTTCGTGATGAGCACATCTAACGAGGTGGATCCTAGAATGGGAGATGTGTAGTTTGTCGGTGTTTTGAATATTAATCTAGTTGTCAGCGGGCGTCGAAAAACTAAGGTAAAGTAAAATTAACATGATTTTAAAACAAAACTTACAAGCGAGAAGATGGTTGTGGATTCATTATTCAAACATCCAATACTTAGGGCAGTTCCATCAGCTCCATTGTTCAGCGGTTCTCAATCTTCCGTGAATTGCGACTCACTTGGAGAGGTTCCATAATCTCGCGAACCACCAATATTGTAAGGCCAAAATGGTCCTAAAACATCAAAATTGAACAAAAATCTACAAAATGGCTTTGAAAACTACATATTGTCCTTAAAAACGTCATAAATAACCCCACATATTTCCAAAAAGGTCAAAATGACCCAGTAAACGTCAGAAATAACCTAGAACCAGTAGTAAACAAACGCCAAAACAGCTTTGAAACTTCGAAAATTACATTTGAAATGCCAAAAATGACCTAAAACCGCCCAGAAATTCTTTATAAACGACTTTAAAGTCTTAAAATGGTGTGATGTGTCAAAATGGATTTAAAACGCCACAATAGACCAAAAACCGACAGAATGGTTTTTAACCCTGTACTGCAAAAGTCCGCCTTTTGGTTGGGTAACTTTAAAGAGCTGGGACCACAAAAATCGAATTGTTTAACAAATGTTGTGCCAATGATTGGAAAGTTTCTCTGAACATGGGGGATAATCTGATTGAAAAAATATTCTTGACGTATTTCAGAGTTGATACGTGTTTTGAAATATACCAATAGTGCACCTTCAAGGATTTTGAACGTTCCTCAACTCAAAGCTTCCCGGAAAACCCGTGTTCCGCTGGATAATATATATAATTAACTTTAAATATAATTAAAGTTGATACGATGTCAATCAACACTACAACATGATCGTACTCAGACAGTATCCACGATTAAAAGATAACTTTTACGATAGAGATTAAGCGGTTTGCACACCAAAATCTTCAGTTGCTTTTTATAGGATGTGAAATCTCCTGTGACCTAGTGTTCTTGCCTTCTCATTATTAACGACCGTCGTTCTCTCAGTGTTCACTCGGCTGTAGAGCAGACCACTCTCGATGTCTGTCACGCGATCGTCTGTTTACTCGGCTGCAACCATTGTGTGGTCCTCTTCATTGTTCTTCATCAGCAGTTCTTTCGGTTGATGCGTCGACGACTTTGGAAAGCAACCGTTTCGTGATGAGTGCTGTCCACGTTTTGCGTCCATTGCTGCAATGGAAGCGCTCTGCTCCCGTTGGCGATACTGCCATACAATGAAACCACTGGAAGCGGCTTCCGTTTTGATCGAGGAGGCTTATTGGATAGCGGAAGATAAAGTCTTTATTGTGTTGTACATTTTAACTATAGTTGTAAGAGGTATTGTATAGTGAAGAAGAATCCTCGGCTCTGTAAAGTTTATTCGATTGAGCCTTATCAAATAAATGAATAATAAACCGTCGTTCTGTATTGAATTACCGTTGTCACATAAACACATACACTCCAAAGAGTATTATTAGCGAATTCAGAATTAGCAACTCACAATTATTTAGTTTTAATTAATTTCAATGCAAACTGCTAAACGGTAATTGATATCCTAGCCTTAAATTGTGGGTAATGCTTCAAACAGCATTTCATTGAATGCCTACGCACAGCTTTGATTCAATGCTTAGGTTTATTAATTCCTAACCAAAATGTATGGAGTAAAACTAGTGCTCATGTCGTTGTTTTTTTTTAAATAATCATTACGATTAGTCAGCAAATCCACATCGCAATCAAAACGCGCGTTGGCGAACCGTTAGTGTGAATGATTGCCACCAATCAAATCGTGGTAATTTCAGAGCTTTCATCGTCACGCGATTCAGTCTCTTACTGCCCGCCCTATGTGTCCCGTCAACACTGCCTGTTGTAGTAGTCCTGTACTCGTTCCACACGGGAAACATCAAGTCACGCATCGCCGATTGCTCTAGGAATAAATGTGTGTGTCTTTCGTGCATACTTTTACCGATGGTTCTTCAACACGTATCTCTTCCGAAGCCCCCCCAAAAAAAAGGAAGAATCAAACTACCCATCAACTGGGCCCGGAGTGGGTGACAATTGCTTGATATTGTGACGAAGAAGGTGACGTTGACGATGGTTGAAATGATTTTGATGACGTCGCAACACTAAACGGAATTTCCGATCCAGCAGTAGGTAGCGGCAGTGCACAGTGGGGGCGCAGCTGATCGTAATTTAACATTGTTTTCTTGAATTTTAATTTTTAATATTTGTTTCAGATTCTCAGATAGATTTTAGCTTCTAATACAATAGTTCAGGATAATCCGACAAGGATTGCATTTTGTGCATAGCTGTAGAGATAAAATTTCGTGGAAAAACAGTAATTTTTTTACCAAGGCTTGATCTTTCAAGAAGTGCAATGTATGTGAACAGATAATTTCAATAGCATAATTTTTTCTCATCCTTCACTTTATACAATACAATGACCAAAAACCTAAACTAGATCACTAAATCACTATTTCACATTGAAAATCATTTTTAGACATCTATAAGCAAAAATGTTCAAAATTGCGTGGAAGGGTTTTTCAAAGCCATTCTAAATATATGAACCTCATTTGCTCAAGTTTGTGATTCTGTGTTAAAATTGATTATTTTCAAGAAGGTTATTTTTTCGGTTATATTTAGCAGCCACCCTAGGGTTCCGATTTTGTATTGAACTAGTGCGCTAAAAATATTTAAAGATGAAAAAAGATGCCAGTATTATTTTCAGCTTTACGTGATATTTGCAATACTAACTACAAACTAAAAAATTTAGAGCCACCCTAAAATTTTAGATTTTATCATATATAATTTTGAACGCAAACTGTGGGTTCAGGAGCATTAAATGACTTAAAAAGTATGTTGGCTACGATTTTAAACAAAAATTTCATTACGACCGGATTATGCATGGGGTTGCCCCCCTGTGCAGCGTGATATGGTCATTATTATGATGATGGTTTCGAAGTATAGTGACGCCAAGGACGGACAGCGCATTTGGCTGAAATGTCTGTCATAATCATTTCCAAAATGACGGCCATCGAACGGAATACTTAACGGTTTTGAATGTGTATGTGTTATTGGATGAAAAAAAAAAGAGACACTGAATGGACATCCAAATCTTACATCAGCATCACCGTCATCAGTGAAGCTCGTCGAATAGATAAGCTTTTGCTATGTATTCGTCACGTCAAATAACGTTTATCACACTTAGGTGCAAAGGAATCACATTCAATACAGTTTACAATTTACAAGATCGGTTGAATGTAAACTGCCCAGTAGGGTGTTTCATTTTGAAAAAAGTGATGAATTTTTGATAGGCCACCCTCCAGTTCGATTCATAGCCCCAAAATATGAACCTGTGCAAAAAATGGTAAAGATTGATGAAGGTTTAGAGGTCGCGCCAATGATTTGGATTTTGTATGGAGATTTTGGTGAATTAGTATGAGAAATTATTGATTTTCGTTTACATTGCTCTAACTTTGGTTGTAGTTGTCCAAACGTTGAAAAAAAAAAATATGTGGTTGTCATGACAATGATCAACAAGCCTGTTGTTGTTGCGATGAAATTGGCGTTGTTGCCTTGTACATATTCATCTGTCAATTTACCCTATTTTGCCATTTTTTCACATTTTTATAATTCTTGATACGCTGCAAAACTGAGCGTAGCAACTGTAGGCTTTTTGTTTATTGCCATAGCAATAACATACTAAATTTTTTCGACATTTGG